AGACGCCACGCACCCCCTTCCACCCACCCACACTTGATTGTGCGTACGGATGGGCTGTCTGGGAACAGGGTAGGCGAGAGGTGGAGCTAGAGCTATCCCTGCTTGCACAGCACCCCAAGGGGCGATCGCTGTTCAGTGCTGTGAAGAATTGTGAGGTCTAAGAGGTGTTCTTTCGGATCCTTCAGCTGTGTGGTGCTGCTGCTGCTAACGCTTCTGCTGCAGCAGCTGCTTTTGCACAGACGGCTAGGCGCCCCAGCCGTTGAAGTGGCGGCTACAGCAGTCAGGGCAGCCGTACTCAGAGTGAAAGGGGCCGAAGTCAGCGCACTTGACCGCCAGCGGGCCGTGCCCGTGAGGCGTGAACACGCGGGCTACCATGGAGGGAAATCCCTTAGGCCTGTGGGGACAGCAGCGAAGGAGATGAGAGAGAGGAGAGTGGGGCGGGGGTGAGTTGGAGAGAGTAAGCACAACTCATGAATGCAGCTGCAGGCACACTCTACGGTAATCAATCCGCAACAGCCATCAGGCCTTTCCCAACAACGTCCGCTATTTTTCTGACACGGTAACCTCGCACCCTGCCACCCGCGGGCTCACCTATCAGGCCGCGACACGTGGATGGAAGGCGGAAGGCGGCGGCGGCCAGAGGGCGCGAAGTAGAGCTTGAGCATGGACGGCAAGGGGGCGCGCAGGTGCGGGGGAGTGTTGGCGTCCGAAGAGGAGGAAGGGTGCGGCGCGTACTCGCCTCTCACTTCGCCGTATTGCTGCAAGGCCTGTTCAGGAGGGCGACACAGAGGGGCGGAGGGAGGGAGAGGGAGTTAGAGTGATGAGAGGAGAGAGTGGGCGTGCAAGGAAAATGCTTTGTTGGAGAGAGAGAGAGAGAGAGAGAGAGAGAGAGAGAGAGAGAGAGAGAGAGAGAGAGAGAGAGAGAGAGAGAGAGAGAGAGAGAGAGAAAGAGAGAGAGAAAGAGAGAGAGAGAGAGAAACAGCATTGAGTCATTCCGGATCCACTACTGCTGCTGCTGCTGCTGCTGCTGCTCCTCGTCCTTCGCTCGTGTTCACACACGCATCTTTTACCCTCCTTCCCTCGTCCACCAGTTCCCGTCCCTTTCCCCCAGATCCCGTCACCTCCCCCCTACAGTCTCCCCCCTCCTTTCCCCCCTTCCACCCCGCCCACCCGTTTCCGTTCTCCCGTTGCCTTCCCCCGCAGCGTCCCAGCGCCACTCGTCCTCACGTGTACCGTAAGCGATGCGCCATCCGCGCCCCGAGACGCGCTCACCTGTCTGACTTGCGGCAGCAATTCCAGCAGCGACGCGCTCGTCGCGCCAGTCGCCGCCACGCCCACCCAGAAGAGCGCGCGAATGTCGTCCTCCGTGCACGGCCGCGTGGCGACGTCCTGCGACGCCGGGCGACCCCACTTGAGCGACGACTGCTGCAACGACTTGGCCATTGCGACGTTGGACACGAATTCGACGACTGTGGGGAGAACGAATGGACAGGAATCACAGAATGAGAAGTTAGGAAAAAGTTGACATTCTAGCCAACTTTTTGGGCACCTTAACAACAAGTAGCGAAGGAGAACGTTAACGTTAACGAAGAATGATGATGGAACGGCGGAATGGGGAGGGCGGGAGCATATGAGCGGGAAAGCTCGTCAACGGCGGAAAGGAGAAGCGCGAGGGGTAAGCGGGGCGACGGACGAGCGCGCGGATGTGAACAGGGGAGGCAGGCGGGAAAGCAGGCTGGCAAGCAGGGGAGCGCACCGGCATCGCCCGAGTGAGTGAACTCGATGTGTCGAATGGGGTAGGGGCACTGGCGGTACGATAGCTGCTGGTCCAACCATCGCGTCTTCTCCTGCGCCGATACCTTGTCCTGCCATGGCGAAAAGAACGAGAGGAAGGGAAGGAGGAGAGGGAGGCAAGGATTGAGGGAGGAAGGGAGAGAGGGAGGAGAAATGGAAGACGGATGACGATTGAGCGAACAAGGGCATTGAGAGCTGGGCAAGACAGGAGAGGGGTGGCAACTGGAGATTGCGGATATAGTTCCGACACGACAAAGGCACAGGCGAGTGAATGCTTGGTGCTACACAGAAACGAGGACGAACGGCGAGTCTGAGAAGCGAGTAAGGAGTCGAGTGGCGGAAAGAGGGAGCTCAGGCGGCAACAGGTCGAATGGGGGAAGTGGAGGGGGACCAGGGCGTGAGGGGGCGAGGGGCGAAGGGATCGTCGGAAGGTAGCGCGCCGCACCTTAATCCGCGACGTGAGCACCACGACTTGCTGGTCCGGTCGGTACAATAGCGTTGAGTAGTACGACGGGTCTTCCAAGTCGCAGAGATCCCCGCCGCAATATCCGGACGCTCCTTGCAACTGCTGCGCCGACGGCGGCAAGAGCGCAGGCATTCCCTGCGCGGCTGCCATCTCGTGCGCGTTCGGCGGGAGATGGTGAGGTATTTGCGGAAGCATTTGCGCCATGCCGTTGTGCGCGCTAGGTGGAAGGTGCATTGGCGGGCGCGGCTGCGCGTAATAATGAACGGGGTTGGGAGGAGGCGGGGAGTCCAACAATGGCGGGGAAGGGGAACCCGCCAGCGGCAATCCCGCGGGGCACGGGCCAGCGTAACACGAGTCGAATTGCCCGTCATAGAACGACGGGGGTGACATATGGTCCATCAACATTGGTGCTGACCCCCCGGACATCGAGGCGGCCAATTGCGGGGATACCGCCATGCGCGGCGGCGAGCAAACACCAGGAGGAGGGGACGTGAAGAGCGGACGCTCGGAGTCTAAAAACATGGCTGGAGAAGTGCGGGGGCTGAGGAGGAGGGGTGCTGTGATGCGGCAGAGTGAAAAGAGATTGTAGAACAAGGCAGTGATGTTGACTGCTAGAATGGAGTTGGAAAGAATGCTGGGCCAATTCTTGCTGGGAGCGAGAGGTGCAAGCTACGTATTGCAGTCGAGACGAGACGAGAGTACAGCGAGGACCTCTGGGCTTCTGCGTGTGGTGGTAGGTTGAGGGGAACAGTGCAGGTGGGGCACCGCCGTGCTGCCGTGTCCCTGAAAGGATGAGGAGGAGGGGAATGGCAAAATGGGCTGAAGGAGGTTTCAGAACCCGACCAAGATAAAGAGACCGTGACGTAACGTATTTGAACGTTTTGAAATCAACTACACCGTCTGGAACCAGTTTTAGGTTTCGATCGTTGGTCTTCGTGGCCAAAATCCTCTGCGTCCCGGCATGGGGGGTGTGGCATGTGATGGCTGGGGTGGCGGGGTGGGTGGGTGGGTGGTGCTGGGCAGAATGCAACGGAAGGTCAGGTCAGTGCTAGAAAAGGACTGGTGGTTTGAGCGGGTGTGGGGGTGTGCTGGAAAGTGTGCAGCGTGGGTCGCAGAGCAGAACGGAAACTGGCAGAGCGACGTCCGTGCAAACTCACTGGTCGTAAAAAACGAAAGGAAAAGGATAAACATTTTTGTGCCCTGTGTCGTCCACCACAGCTTCTGCCAGCGAGTCGCCCACACATGGAATGCTTCCATCAGTGCACAATTTTTCGTTTTTCATCGGTCCCATCAGTAGCTACTGGGGTTCGCTCTCGCGCATCGGCTCGGATGTTGACGACGGCAAAACGCGATTCGAAAAGCTAACTGCACGGCACGGCGGAGTACAGCAGATTCGCCTCAACCTTGCAGCGTCGTCTGTGCGAGACCATGCGACATGCGTTTCCCAGCAACAGTGTTGGCGATGCGTGGGTTTGGGGAGGGAAGGATCCTGGGAGGTGGTGTGCAAGGAACAGTGTTGGAACTGACGCAAATGCCGAGCTGACGCGGAATGAGGAATGAACGTCGTTCGGAATGCGAGTAGGGGTGGTTGGGCAATGCGATGCGACGGGCAAGTCGGTCAATTTCAGGCAGTGCGTCTAGTGGTCGGTGGCGAATGTCATGATGGCTGCGATAACCACGCTTGCGACGAAGATGATGAAATTCTGTCGCACATGATCTGCTTGCGACTGCTGCTGCCAACTGGAAGGGAATGCGAGCTGGCCAAAGACACAGAAGTCAAAGCATCACTGCTGAACGATCGAATCGCCTGCGTCGCAAGCAGGGCTATTGCTAGGATTTTTGCTAGCTCGGACGATCCGGGCCCCTGTGAAAAAGACCCTGTAAAATCCGAGCCAGCGGAAAAAAAACCTTGACGAATCCGGGTTCGAGCCAGAAAAGGCCTGAAAACATGCATTACCAGAATTTCGCGGGAAACTCACAGTGGGTTGCGCGAGGGCTGGGGAGATTGGAGATGGAGTGGCTCTGGAGGGGTGAGCGAGATACTTTTTGTAGACTTTAGAAAAAAAATACGATGAGGAAGAGTACATCGGGAGAACAGGGCAATCAGACACTCTCTCCTTATTGGCCTTCTAAGCCATGTCGACGTAGAACGGGGCAATCAGACACATGGAGGCCAACAAGGAGAGAGTGGTTAGGAAATTCACTAAAATTGGCCCAACGTGTGTTTAGAGGGAGACCGAGAGGAATGCAAGGCAGGTCGGGGAGAACATGTCTGCTAAAATTTTACCGGTCCCCTTGAGAACTCCCCGGAGAGATCCGAGCTGACTCAAAAATCACCCTTCAGTTTTACGGGCTGGTCCGGAAAAAACCTTGTGAAAATCAGGGCTCCTAGAAAAAACACCCTATAATTTCAGTCAAAACAGGGTAATTGCCCTGATAACTTAGGCCCTGGTCGCAAGCAGTCTCAGTCGCCCGTCCTTCCACTTGCGAACTAGCAGTACTTTCGCTCGTGCGTCTCGCGCGGATGACAAGAAGCTGGAATAGTTTGTTTGAGACGGCTCCGTTATAACGAGAATTACAGAAGGCTACATCTCAACGGTTAACGATGGGGCATTTCGAAAAAAATGTTAGCATAAATATAAAAGCTGTGTCGTTATTCCTCCAGCTCCATGCAATATCCAACTTTCCATCGCCTCGCCGCATATTCCGCCGCGATCTGAGCAGACCGTGATCTTTTCTTATGTCCACTCTTCTACCATTTGATGCCATTTCCGTCGCAGCCGCATCGAAGCTTGATCCTTCCCCGTTGTCGTCCCCCGTCAGCAGCATTGCGACTAGTGTCGCAGCTAATCGCAATCACCACAGGTTACCTGAACTTCGTTCAGGCGTCGCTTTCGCGCATCCATCGCCCCAGCTGAAACGTCTTGTCTTCTCGCACGCGAGTCCTCACCGCATCTCCCGCCAATTTCTCATTGTTGCAACCACATCCTCCTCATCCTTCCCAACCTCGTCTCAACTCCCCGCGTTTCCCGGAATGTCTGCTGCGGACTCTCAGTCGCCGGCAACTGTGCCGGAGCGTGCCATCCGCTTTACAGTAACTAACGGCGACGGCAGCAAGCTCTCCGCGTTTCTAGTGGAGCCGAACGCGGATCTCCCCGATCCGACGCTCCCGGACGGTGCGATGCGTGAAAGCGCGAATGGCGGCGATCGCAGCGTCGCGGATGGCAGCGCGAAAGTGGTGATCATCTGCCATGGGTTCCGGTCTACTAAGGTGCGCCATGCTGAAAGAAATTCGATCATATGCACTTTCCTCCTCCTCGCCCCTCTCGTGCTTGCCCTCGCACTTGTTTTCCCGCGGCAAATCAATAGTCTACCCCAGTAGTCGCATTCTCTTTCCCCAATGCCTTCACCCCACAACCCCTCTCCCCTCCTGTACCCCCGCTCCCCCACCCTTTCCCCCGTCGGCCCGTTCCCCCACTTCCACGTCCCGCCAATTCGTCCGCGTTCTCGTTGCGCGTGCCGTGTGTGGCGGTGACTGACGAGCAGCTGAGCTCCACGGTGCAGAAGCTGTCAGATGCGATCCTGGCCGCAGGATTTGCCACTGTGCGATTCGACTTCTCTGGAAACGGGTGAGGAACGCAACTATGCAGCCAGCGAACACCGCCCCCCACCCTTTCCTCCCCCACCTCCTCAGATCAGACACACACGAAGCTCCCCTGGCCACCTGCCTTTTCCCCTTTCCTATGTACGATGCGCCAGGGCACTTTGAGTCTTATTTAAAGCCTCCCCATTCCCCGTACCCGCATTCTGCCACTCCCACGCTGTGCCTCTCCCACAATGTCGCGCCATGAGGCAGGGAGAGCGAGGGCGCGTTCGCAACGGGCAACTACCGGCACGAGGCAGCTGATCTACACTCCGTGGTGGAGTGGGTGCGGGCGCAGGGCAGGCACGTGGAGGCGGTCGTTGGGCACAGCAAAGGTGCCGCGGGGATAAGGGAGATGAAGGAGAATCTGTTGCATTTCGCTTTCTGGTTCAGTTGGGGTTATGAAAGGGGGGCGATGAGCTGGGCTGCTATTGAACTCAATGAATCACCATTGGCAGCAGTATTCTCCATCTCTCTCTCTCTCTCTCTCTCTCTCTCTCTCTCTCTCTCTCTCTCTCTCTCTCTCTCTCTCTCTCTCTCTCTCTCTCTCTCTCACACACACACACACACACACACACACACACACCCACGCATGCACGCACGCACGCTCGCACGCACGCACGCACGCCCGCACGCACGCACACGCGAATGGAAACGCACATGCACACGCACGCACGCGCGCATGTTCAGGTGGCAACTGTGTGTTGCTGTATGCCTCTTTGTACAAGGACGTGCCCAAGGTCATCAACGTCAGCGGCCGCTACGACCTCTCAAGGGGCATCAAGGAGCGATTTGGGGAGGAGGGAATGGCGAAGCTGGAGGAGGAGGGGCAGTTAACCCAGCAGGACAAATATGGTGTGTTGCTGTTGCTGGTACACTGGCATCAAGTCGCTTGTCTCTAATGCGTTAGTTATTTCTACTTCTACCTGATTTTATGCATCATCTCTTGCTGCTGCACTATTCCAACCCGTATCCAACCTACTCTTTCTGTCACGCACATCCACCCGCACATAGGCTCATACATTGTAACGAAAGAGAGTATTCAAGAGCGCCTTGCAACGGATATGGCTGCTGCGGCACGTGCCATCCCACCATCTTGCAGGTATGCGATATCCTTCTGTACTTGCTACACGTGTTGCCTGTTTTTCTTTTCTGGAAAAAAAAACGGGTGCTCAAAGTTGAGTTATGGTAAACATTTTGTTACTATTTGAAAGCTTTTCAAATGCGCTGACTCTCGTTCTCATTTACAGTGTGTGTACAATCCACGGATCAGAAGACGCCACAGTGCCAGTTGAAGATGCGAGCTCTTTCCACACTGATGTTCCCAACCATCACCTTCACATCATTGACGGTGCCTGTCATAACTTCAGGATCCACGGTCAGGAATTGGGTGAGGCAGCTGTTGCTTTCCTCCTCAATAAGCATGTGTAGCGGATCCTAGGGGCATTGCTTATATGTTGCCATTTAACAATAATTTCGGAAGTGTCATAAAATTATTATGCACGTGGAGCAGCAGAGTATATATGTAGATTTTTCATGCACCGTGGGTCTGACAATAACGAGGATCTGGCTCTTACTGTTCCGTTCGCTGTTGATTGGGACCATCACTTATTCCGCAATCTGATTGGCTCAACCTGATCGTAACCTGCCCTGCCTGCCCTTTCACCAGCGCCAAATGCCCTTGAAAACACAGGCCTTGTTCTTCCTCTCCCCCCCCCCGGCTTTGTCACCGCAGTGGCGGGCGGAACTATCACTTCCGCCTCCCTTTCCGCCGTCCGTGCAACAACTCTGCGAATCCGCAAAATGGTCCTTAGCGGAAAAGCGCCCCCGCGCACCCTGCGGGGCAATTCCAAGAATGTTCACCGTCCATCCACTCCTCTCGATATTGTACGGCAACAATACCTATCACCCACTTAGCGCTTAGCGCTAGGAAACAACGTCCTTCATCGCAGTCCGTGCTACGCTGCACCGTGCGCGCTTTGCTTGATCCGCGGTGAAGCTCCACCGCGCCGTCTTGTTCAATGCTGGCACGCATTGCTTAGCATAACTGCATTTGTTATTCTTCTACTTAAGATTTGTCAAACCGTGCGTGCATCGCGGCTGATGGTTGGCACAATGAAGGTTCCTTTGAAGGTGCTGTCCCGGTCCGTGACCGTTCTCGCTTTCTCGCTGCTCGCTGCAATCTCCGCCGTTGGCGCGTCCACAGGAGGCCTCGATGCCGGTATCAATCGCTAACTCAACACCTTTTGCGCTCTCAAATCGGTTTTGTTGTGCTGATAAGCTTTTAGAGCCTGTAAATGGCGCTTGCTCGTGTTTCGTGACCCTCAGCCCGGTTTAAACCTTCGGCCTTTCTTATCTTCCAATCCGTAACGCTTCATTCCGTTTTTCGACGCAACCTCAACTGCAACCTCCGTTTTTGTTCACCTCACTCGGACTCATTTCGTCTGGATTTGTTGACGTTGCTGTACCCGCTGGTTGCGCTGGCCTCCTTCCGTCCCCCTCTTCCTGCGATCATTCCTGGTCCAACTCCCCGTGCCCCTTCTCTTACCTTTCCCCTCTCCTCTCTCTCGCGCTACTCTACGCTCTCCTTCCTGCCCCTCCCCTCATCCATCCTTCACCCGTCGACCCGCCCACCCCCATACCATCCCCCCGCCCTTCCCCCGCGCGCCAGTCCCCGTGCGCATTGACTGCGGCAGCGCACAGCCATCCGTGGCAAACGGAGTGGAGTGGCAGGCGGACGCGTTTTTCGACGGCGGGGAGGCGGTGCAGCTGCCCGCGGGCAACGAGTCGCGCCTCGCGTCCCCCATCGAGTCCTCGCTGCGCGCCTTCCCCCCGTCCACCAGCCAGTCCGGCCAGGGCGGCGGCTGCTACAACGTCCCGCTCACCACCGGCGCGCGATACCTCGTCCGCGTCGGCGTCGCGTATCGGAACTACGACGGCGCGTCATCGCCTCCTTTTTTCGACATTAGAATCAACGGGCTACTCGTGAAGACCCTCACCCTCCCAGCCGTCGAGCCGCAGTTCCCATCGTCTGCTTTCTACTCCGATTTCCTGGTATACGCGCTACAGGGCTCCATCTCCGTCTGCTTTACGCCTTTCCTCGGCGCGCCTTCCTCCACCCCATTGGTCAATTCCCTCGAGTTCCTCCCGATCCGCCCGGAGACATACGACGCAGCCAGCATCGGCACCGATGCTATCCTCACCACCTTGCTCCGAATCAATTTTGGAGGCCCGGAGGTTACCGATGCTGAGGACGTTGGTTACCGAACCTGGGCTCGCGACGTCAACCCTGGCGTTCCAGGAGGAGGCCCCACCAGGGGCCTGCAGCCGCTGCAGTTTGCCACCCTATCCACCACCCAGTCCATTTCAAATGCAGGGTCGCCGCCCGACGAGCTGCCCGCGCAAATCTTTCAGTCTGCCCGGGTGGGTAAGGACGCAGGTGTGGGCCGCGCAACGGGGTTTATTTACCGAATGGACCCACAGAACCCGCTCCACCTGTTCTACGTGCGGCTACACTTTGCGGAGATAGAGGAGGGGGTGAAGCAGGGAGACCGGCGGTTTGACATCAAACTGTCGCAGGATAGCATCTTTGGCCACGAGGGTGAGCACATGGACGAAGATACAGTGGACCAGCAGGGAAAGCTCTGGCCCAACGGGTTTGACATCATTGAGGCTGCTAACGGGTCTGCCTTTAAGGGGGTTACTCTGCCGATATTCTTCAATTACTCGGTGTATGCGGAGAATTACGGACGCGAGCTGCGGGTGTGGCTGCCTGCTATGCCGGACTCGCCCAAGCCCCCTCTGCTGTCTGCTGTGGAGCTTTACGAGATCACGCGCACTCCTGTTGATGGATACGTGTACCGAGGTGATGGCCTGCTTGTGTTCTTCTGGACTTTGTCCGTGTGGGTGCTGGTGGTTTACTTTCACTTAGGAAGTGCGCTGAATCTCCGTGTCTTACTTCTCGTTTGTGGTCTTGCTCTTCTTACTCCCGGGGTGGCGATGCAGGCATGACAGGCAGTGACATTGCAGGCATCGTGATGGCATGCGTCTTTGGTGTCATTTTTGTGCTGCTCCTTGCATGGCTCCTGGCCGCCCGCTTCACTCGCAGCTCCCGCCAGTATGCCATCTTTGGCGCTTCCGGTGAGACTCACAGCCTCCGGCATTCCCCCTCACTCTCGTGCCTTGGGCCTTTCTGTGCTAGTTGTAATCTATCCCCCCATTTATTGGGTCAAATTTGCTTAGTTCTGTCCTGCCCAAATTGCCATGTCCTATGCACTCCATCTTGTCTTGGGCCATCTCTGCTTGTGGCAGGTAAACACAACCGCGGCAGCAATATCTAATGGCGCACCACATCTTGCAGACATGTAGTTGTGTCGATTGTAAGAATATCAATACTGGAAACATCTTTTGTAAGCGTAGCAGAGCAATCTCTGCACTTAGTTTGTGCGTATGCATAGAGTTTTTGCTTTCTGGATTCACATTGAAATGTAAGCAGGCTGAATAAATGGTGATACGGTTCCACAGCAGAATTCACCTTCCTGCTTCTAGGGGGAGAGATGGCGGTCGAACGAGAATCTCGGGGATTGGTGTTTGCAAATATCTGTTTGGCTGGTGTGTAATGCAACTCCCACGCCACTGGAGGGAGAGCCTCCGGAAGCCCCATGTTACTTTTACAGGCTGCCCCATGGCCTGCACTTGCGGGTGGCGGCGCTGTGACGTTGATTTGCTGGTGCCACGTCACATCCCTCTCTTAGGCCCAACCAGCACAAGATCAAGGTGGAACACAGAGATCTTCGAGCATTGGGTCAGGAAAAAAGTGCGCTCCTGCCCCTTCCTCGTTATCGGTGCCATCCAGCCGTTCATTCATAGAAATGACAAGATCGAGGTGTTTTTGAGTATCAAGATTTGCGAAAAAAAAAGTTCTGGACGCGGCAGCTTCTGTGGAATACCCCAAGAAACCCCCACCCAGAAGTGTCCAGCAGCTTCTTCCGTTCACATCACAGCCACAACCCTTACGCCACTGACACCCCCTCTCCACCTTCCTATCCGTCTTTCTAACACCCCCTCTCCCTATCCGTCTTAGCAGTCTCCTTCTCTAGCCGCCATACCCTTCGCGCCTTACGATTCGACTCTTCATTCCTTAGTGTCTTCCTCCCTCATTTTATCCCGCGATACAATGGCCGGAGTTGCGGCTCCAGGTCCTTCAGACTCAAGTAATTACAGGGCTTTGCACGTTGGGCGTACTCGGGGGTTAGGGTGGAGGTCACGTGCGAGGGTTTTGTGTTGGAAGTCTTATGTTGTGTTTGGAATAGATCTAAGAGTTCCTTTTGATATACAGGACGCCATCGTCCCAAGTTGGTTGTCCGCTGTCCTTATTATCGGTTTTAGCTCATAGCATAGACAGGATTTTTTTTAGGCTGCAATGTATTTTGCAAGAAGAATCGTGATTTAACCAGGTGTTTCCGATGGGGTCTCGAGAAAGGGCCGGCTGCACGAGTATATATCACGATCAGATGTTTTTCACTTTGCAACGATTGTGGCTGTTTGAATATTCCTCACACCGCCTTGCCCTTCTCTGATTTCTTTCGTCCGTCCTATGCAGATCAGACTAACGCACCCACGCCAGGGTCTTCATCCATTGGTGCAGAGGTCCGTGTACCTTTCGTTAAACCCGCTTCTTTTTCTGACCACTACGACGTCATTCAAGGCCCTTTTGCCCGTGTTGCCTCTTCACATTCCAAATCTATAAATCCACCGCTAAGGAACCATTGCTCAGCCGGCATAACGAGAAAATGACTTGCGAATGCATCTGAAGAAATGAGTACTGATCTGTCATTGCGGTCCCCGCACCTTTTTTCCAAACCCCCGTTCTTTGGCATCATCGCCATCAGCCAGCAGGCGATGCGGTCGTCCAATCCAGCCAGAGCGGGGAGGCAGGTTCGGGGAGCGGCAATGCGCAGCAATCCCAGCAGCCATCGCAGCAGCAGCAGCAGCAGCAGCAACCACAGCAGCCACACCCGGGCATTTCGCAAACGCCAGATCAGCTGCACCTGCAACAGCAGCAGCACCAGCAGCAGCAGCAGCACGTTCAGATGGTTCCAGGATCAGACCCTAACGGGAACGTGTTTTATGCGGCGGGGAACGGATTCGTTCCGCACTACTTTTATGATTATTCCGCAGGTACGTTCCCCGTTGTTTCATGCGTCCAGATCATTTTTGAAACCCACACACAATACAGAACGCTCCGAAACGTGGATTCATCTCCCCTGCGATTTGACCACATTCGCGGTCCTCGCGCCGCCGAACCCTTATTCCATTTTTTCGTCTTCGCGTTGTCGAATCCGCTTTTCCGTGTGCCCGTCGGCGCAGATCCTGGAAGGTTCTCCCACGAGCAGTGGGAGGAATACATGCGCATGGCCAATAGCGGTGCTCCCGGAGGGGGCCCCCCTCTCGTCGGTCTCATGCCTGAAGGCATAGAAGGCCACCCTCCCCAGGTGAGAACCGACGAAAGTTAGGCTTTCAATATAACGTCTTTTTCATTGCATGCGCGTTTCCTTCTGATTCCCGTACTATCCCTTTGCGTACTCGTTTGTTTACTCCCTGTGCTCACCCTTTGTTGCCCCGTGTTCCTTCACCGGCCTTGATTCCTGTGTGTGATTCTGATGCGCGTCAGATGTACGCGCCACACCACTTCCAGTTCCAGCCGCCCGTCTTCCCGCCGCCTGTTCCTCCCCCTCCTGCTGGTAAGCTTTCCACTACTGGCAAACAACGAACATCTTCCGACATATCGAACATTTTCTGTCCAGCTCCGTCTGTGGCCTTCCCGTCTTCCGCCTGGTGGTTTCTTTTTGGCAAGCATCATCGGCCTTGCCAGATCTTGTGCGTATTCTCCCTTCCTTCCCTCCTTCCCGTCAGATCCATCGAAGCTCGCGGCGCTGCCCGATCAGCTGACTCAGTCCGCCAGCTCGTCCGCGCCCGCACCCGCGGACGGCATGGCGGGTCCCATGCCGCTCCTTCCAGGCCAGCCCCTGCCCGCGGGGATCGCCCCGCCGCCGCATCTTGCGCACATGCAGGTCCGTGCTCCCGCTGCTGTTGCTCCTGCCTTTCGCTGCTGTTTCCGTGGGCTTGCATCCATATTGGTGGCTTCGTATCTATTTTTGCCGTCCGAGGGTTTGTATATCTGATGGTCCGCCCTTCTCTGAACACGAACGCGCTTTTTCCGTTTCCGTTGCGTGCCTTCGTGCATGTCAAACCTGCACTTCCCCAGATGCACGGCGTTCCCCCCAACGGCGTCATGCCACCTCAAGGCGTCCCGCTCCCCGGCGGACCGCCGCCCCCCGGAGGCCCAGGCGCCGCACCGGGGGCGCCAATCCCCATGCGCGGTCCCCCTGGCGCGCACCTCGGAAACATGCCCGCGGGCATGCACGGCCGCGGCGGAATGGGCCCCGGGGGAGTTGGCGGGCGTGGAAGGGGGGATGGGGGCCGGGGAGGACGGGGCTGGGGCGGAGGCCCCGGTGGGTATGACAAGGGGAGAGGCGGCAGGGGAGCGAGAGGTGCCAGGGGAGGGTATGGCGGGTATCCGGGGGGGATGATGATGATGGGCGCACCTGGTGGGGGGCGTGGGATGCAAGGTAACGGGATGCATGAGGCGGTGAACGAGCAGAACCGCGGGCCTAGGACCAACCGGGCGGGGCGGGGGAAGCAGCCGCAGCAGGCCATGGGGGCAGCAGGTGCGGCGGGTGCACCTGCTGACGGCAGTGCGCAGGCAGGAGCTGCTGCAGCGGCAGGAGCAGCAGGGGCACAGGGTGGGGTAGCAGGGTCAGAAGGAGCAGCCAACAGCGGCGCGTCTACCTCTGCTGCTGCTGGCGCCGCTGCTGGCGGTGCTGCTGCTGGCGGTGCTGCTGCTAACACTGCAGCGGCGGAAGGCGGCGCTGCGAATGCGAGCAATGCCGCTGCGCTCCCTGCCCTCGCTGGCACGCCCGGGTTCCTCGCGTTTCCTGGTATGCCCGGCGGTCCCGCGCCTGGATCGTATGCCACTCCCGCCATGGGAGGCCCCCCCGCCAATCCTGCTGCCGCCGCCGCCGCCGCCGCTGGTGTTGCGGGCGTGGGCGCGCCGAACCCCTGGAGCCTTGTACAGGGTATGGAGGAGATCAATAGGGCGGATTTCCCGGTGACGTACCAGGCGGCGAAGTTTTTCGTGATCAAGAGTTACAGCGAGGACGACGTGCACAAGAGTATCAAGTACGGCGCGTGGGCGTCCACCCCCAACGGTAACAAGAGGCTCAACGCTGCGTTCCAGGAAGCTGCCGCGAAGACCGCTGCGACCGGGTCGCGATGCCCCGTGTTCCTCTTTTTCTCGGTGCGTGCAATCTCCTTTGCATGGCCTGCTCCGGCTTCCCATCATGGTTTCTGCCAGTTCTGCTTTTTGCCATTCTATGTTTCTCCTTTCTTGTACCCTGCCCTCTTCCCCCCTTCACCCCTCAACTCCACCGCCAACGCCCAATCTCCCTTCTCGTTATCTTCGCATTCTGATCTCACAACTCAGCAAAAACTTATTATTGCTCAAGAGAAAGCTACTTGTTGCCAACTGCCCTCGTCGTCCTGTTCTTACCCGCACCACCACCCTTACCTCCTCCGCGCTTCACCCCACCGCGCGTCTCTGCGCCCCGCGTCGCCCCTCCGGGCAGTCGTGAGGGTTGGCGGAAATGATGTCCCCTCACATGCTTCCTCTCCCCTCTCCCGGTCCCTTCTCCCGTCCTGTCCTCTCCACCACCCCGCCCTTTCCCAACGCCTCCCGCCAGGTGAACGCGAGCGGGCAATTCTGCGGAGTGGCGGAGATGATGTCTCCGGTGGACTTCCAGCGGTCGGTGTCGTTCTGGCAGCAGGACAAGTGGAACGGGCTGTTCACGGTGCGCTGGCACGTGATCAAGGACGTGCCCAACGCGCACTTCCGCCACATGATCATTGCCGCCAATGAGAACAAGCCCGTCACCAACTCGCGCGACACCCAGGAGGTAGGGGTTCTGGAAGGGGGAGAGGGAGGTAGTCGAGGCCGGGAAGGGTTTCATTTCGTGGGGAGAAGGGGTGGGGGGTTGTGTGAGGGAGGGGAGTGGGATGAGGGGGGGTTTGGGTAAAGGGGGTGGGGGGTGTGCGGTTGGGGGGAGTGGAGGTGGGGCTGTGAGAGGTGGATGGGATGATGCTGATGTTGTGTCGGTGTTTTTGGAAGGGTTTAGGGTTGTTACCACTCTGGTTGTTGCGTTCAACTGTCTGTACTGCGGGTCCTGTTGTGTGCGCGTGTGTGGATGCTAATTATTGTGTTCGTATGCACGCGTGCCGCACGTGTGCTTGTTTGTGTGCATGCATGTGTGGATGTGCGCGTGTATGTGCGTGTGTGTGCGTCCCTGTGCGTGCTTGCATGTGTGCAGGTGCCGCAAGAGCAAGGGCAGCAGATGCTGCGCATATTCAAGGATTACATGTCCCGCACCTCCATTCTCGACGATTTCGATTTCTATGACAAGAGGCAGAAGGCCATGCAGGCTCGTAAGGAGCGTCTGCAGCACCAGCAGCACCACCCGCACCCCCAGCACCCACAGCAGCAGCAGCACCCGCATCAGCAGCACCAGCAGCATCAGCACCACATGCAGCAACAGCAGCACCATATGCAGCAGCAGCAGCATCCCCACCAGCACCCGCACCACCGCCAGCAGCAACACATGCTGGCGTTTCCGCCTCTGCAGCACCACAACCAGCAGCCGCACCCGCATTACCATGGCGGCCCGTATGGCCGCGGGGGGATGCACCGACACCAGGTATGCACCTGTTGTCCCTTCCTGCAACATATCCTTCCTGCAACATATCCTTCCTGCAACATATCCTTCCTGCAACATATCCTTCCTGCAACATATCCTTCCTGCAACATATTCTTCCTGCAACATATCCTTCCTGCAATTATCCCTTCCTGCAACATATCCTTCCTGCAATTATCCCCTCCTGCAACATATCCTTCCTGCAATTATCCCTTCCTGCAACATATCCTTCCTGCAATTATCCCTTCCTGCAACATATCCTTCCTGCAATTATCCCTTCCTGCAACACATCCTTCCTGCAATTATCCCTTCCTGCAACATATCCTTCCTGCAATTATCCCTTCCTGCAACATATCCTTCCTGCAATTATCCCTTCCTGCAATGCTTCCCTTCGCCTCACTGCACTTCCTCATGGGTTTTCCATCTCTTCCTTGACTTTCCTCGCCCCAGCTCCCGTGTTCTTGTACATACAATTTCCTTCCTTCCGGTTCCTTCATTCCTCAACTAACGCCCTGCATGTGTCCCCGCTGTGCTTGGTTCCTTGTGCCTTTCATTCACCACCCTGCAGCGTGCATACCATCCCAACCAAGGCCGAGGCCAGCCCATGCAGTCAACCCAGCCGTCTGCCCCAGGCGGCCCTGCTGGGACCTCCCCTGCAACAGCTGAGGCAGCAGCAGCAGCAGGTGGAGCAGCAACTGCTGCCCCTGTTGCTTCAGGCCAGGCTTCTGCCGCGCCTACTGCTGACAAGGCACCTGCTGCTGCTGCCCCTGCTGGTGCCGTCGATTCTGCTGCGCCAGCTGAAGGGGCGTCTGCCGCTGTTGGTAGCACCTCTGCGACTGTTGGTGAGGTGACTGAAGCAATGGGTTCCTTGCAGGTGGGTGGGGGTGCTGGAGCAGCTGCAGACGCCCCGGCTGCTGCGGATGCTGGTGCTGCTGCTGCAGCGGGTGGCGCTGCTACTGCTGCCGCTGAAGCTTCCAAGTGAGGGCTTCGTTGTGACCCGTTCGTTCGTTCGTTCATCGCTCCGAATTTGTCGATCGCGAGGCTGGGTTTTCACGGGTAGCCTACGGGGGTTGGAGAGCAGGGCAGGTGAAAATTGTCGAGGCGCGTTTTTCTTTGCAGTGATTGTTGTTTTCCTATGCTCTGGTAAGGATTGGTGTTACAGGTTCTGGTTGGTTGCATGGTTGGTTGGTTGGTTGGTGAGTTGTGCGATTCAGGGGTTTATTCAAACCTGTCTTATCTGCTATGCGGGTCTTGAGGGGTGTCAGGTGGTTGGCTTGGTGCATTTTGAAAGGAAGCACCACTTTGGGTGTGAGGAGAAAAGTCACAGGAAGATTGTGAGCGGCCTATCAGGGGAATTGTAGATGGAAGGCTTGTTAGGGGCTTTGGATGAAACCTGGAACTGATATTACTATGGACCTCATTTGCTTTAGTGGGAGGATGGCTGGAATTGCAGGTGGGGCTGGAGAATTGTGTCAACTGGCCATGGAAGTGCGTTTTATTGTTTTCATGATTTCCCCTGTTACTGAACAGCATCAAAAGAAACACACTAGCAGTACAAAGTGTTACCCCATGTTCAGTCATGAAATGAACAGTGAATTTGAACATTAATGATTTTAGTTATTAATATATATACAAGCAGTGTACATCCAAAAGAGAATGAACCTAGCCAGGCGCAAACCAAGCACACAAAAGACCCCCCATGGATTTACAGCAGTAGCAGCAGATATCAATGGAGCAGATGGGGAAGGGGGGAGGGGAGGATATGCAGCAGATACGGTACCTAGATGTCAGTTTGGAGAAATGTGTGCGGATGGGTTAGAGGGAGGGCTGCTGCTACAAGCAGCAGGTGTTTGAAGTGCTGTAATGCGAGAGAAATGCATGGTAATGCGTGGGATGGGAGGGATTCAGAGCTCAGAGCAGTGCACCGCAGCAACAAGCAGCAGCCGCGACTTGTGGCACAGACACTGCTGCTCATGCGCGGAAGGAGGTGTCAGTCAAGGGGTGTGTCACAGTGGGTCAAGCTCCCGACAGGAGCGGAGCGGAAGCCTTCCCTTCCCAGCTGTCATTTGATGGGGTTGATGGGGTGAGGTCAGGTTAAGTCAGGCTGAATGAGGTAGACAGATAGGATAGGAAGCCTCTCGCCCGCCCACAGAATGGCAGACTCGTCGTATGGTGCATAGCACTCAGGGAGTGATTGGCACCGGCGACATGTAGAGTAACTTGAGCTGTGCCATTGGGGAGAGCGGCTGTGGAAGTGCGTCAACGGAAGAGCGTCAGAGCCAGTGAGTCAGTGGAAGATCACCAAAGGAAGAGCATCCGTAGCAGAGCATGAGCATGAGTAGAGCAGTAGAGCGGCAGCATATGTCAATGGAAGAGCATGCGGCGCATGACATGCCTGTGGGGTAACGGGGAGTCAATTAGTTGAGCAGCGTCTGTGGCAAGTTCACGAGCACGACGCGCAGCAGCAGCAGCAGCAGCAGCAGCAGCAGCAGCAGCAGCAGCAGCAGCAGCAGCAGCAGCAGCAGCAGCAGCAGCAGCAGCAGCAGCAGCAGCAGCAGCAGCAGCAGCAGCACATATCAGTGGAAGAGCAGGCAGCGCATGACACGCCTGGCTGGAGTGCCGGAGAGTCAGTTGAGTTGAGCAGCGCCAGTGGCAAGTTTATGAGCACGAAGCGGAGCACGAAGCACAGCACGACGCGGAGCATGAAGCGCAGCAGCAGCAGCAGCACATATCAGTGGAAGAGCAGCCGGCGCATGACACGCCTGGCTGGGAGTGCCGGAGAGTCAGTTGAGTTGAGCAGCGCCAGTGGCAAGTTTATGAGCACGAAGCGGAGCACGAAGCACAGCACGACGCGGAGCACGAAGCGCAGCAGCAGCAGCAGCACATATCAGTGGAAGAGCAGCCGGCGCATGACACGCCTGGCTGGAGTGCCGGCTTCTGCCACCCGCAGACGAGCAGACGCCGACCCAGCAGGCAGTCTGGGCTTGCGGGGCGTGCTGGGGCAGGTGAGCGGCGCAGCAAAGGGGTCAAACTGCTGCCGTGGGGACTGTGTGCTGGAGGGGGAGTACACAGGCTCTTCTTCTGCCTCCGTGGATTCTTGTGCTGCCAGTGCTGGTCGTGCTGCAGGTGCTGCTGGTGCTTGTACTGCTGGTGCTGGTGCTGCTGCTGGTGCCGGTACAGCTGGTGCTGATGCTGATGCTGCTGGTTCTGGTTCAGGAAAGTTAGCAGGTATAAGTGCAAGGGGGCTGGGCAGGGAGGGTGCTGAAGGTGGGAGCACGGACTCGTTTCCTGTGGAGAAGAGGGAGAACGGAAGAAAGCGAGAGGGTAAAAAGGGGGGGAGAGTGTGAGTGTGAGGAAGCAAGGGTGTGGGTGAGGAAGGGAGAGAATGAGAAAGAGAGAGTGGAGGAGCAAGGGAGCGCGCAAATGGCAGCTGAGAAGGACATGAGAGCCACTTGTGTGCCATAAAGAACCCACTTACCTTCAGACGCATTGCCGGCAGCAGAAAGAGCTTGGAAGATCACAGCAGGGCCAGGAGTGATACAGGCGGAAACAGAGCCGGGAGAGGTAGAGCCTTGCTGTTGCTGTTGTTGCTGCAGCTGCCTGCTCTCCTCCTCGTGTAGGCTCAACCGCAGCATGCGCCGCACACCGCAGCCAGCAGTCCGGCCGTCCTTCTTCTGCCTCTTGCTCTTCTCCTCATCGTTTGACCAACCCATGTCGCCTTCAGCAGCAGCGGCAGCAGCAGGAGCAGCAGCAGCAGCGCTGAGAGTGGAGTGCGCAGCAGCAGAATACTCTGCGTTTGCTCCAGCGTGAGTGTCCTTGTCCCAGGGCAGCACCGCCTCACACTGCAGCCTGCTGCGCGCCCTGGGTCTCTTCCCATGCCGAGGGCTGCCCCCTGCTAGTCCTCCCAGCCCCTCCAGTGCTGCTGCTGCTGTTGGTGCTGCTGCCGCCGCCGCTGCTGTCGCTGCTGCTGCTCCAAGCCCATCCCACGCAAGCGCAGTGGGCGGGGAGACGCACGGAGAGCCGTCCAGATGCAGAGGTGGAGGCATGGCGACCGTCGGATGGGCTCTGGCGGGGCGGTGGAGAGTGCAGGGCGCGTGCAAGTGCCTGGGGCTGCCGTCAGGACGGCAACTCCTACCCAAGTGACGGTAGAACGGGTGGCAGGGACCAATAGAAACCTCCGTGTGGTTACCAGCGTCGTTAGCCTCGTTAACAGCCTCGTTAGCAGCCTCGTTACAGGTGTGGTTACCAGTGTGGTACTGGCACTTGAGAGGCAGGAGATAATTCGCAGTAGTATCGAAGGCAAGGTCTGAGTCGCTGCTGCTGCTGCAGCTGCAGCTGCTTTCGCGTCCGCTCTTGATCTTGTGCGTCTTCTCTCTCACGCCACCGGCCCCGCTGCTGCTGCTGCTACTGCTGCTGCCGCTGCTGCCCCGTTTACAATCCGTCGTTCCCAGGAGGGCGAGGGTCATTCTCGAAAGCGCTACTCTCTCCCACTGGCCGTTCGCCGGGGAAGGGGAAGGGGGAAGTGGGAGAGGAGGAGACAAAGTCGGGGTGTGGCGGTCTCGTGCGTCGCAGCACAGGACGACGGCACTGGCGGCAGCGCAGGTGACGGCGGGATCAGGCGGAGATGACGCGCGGGAGGAGAAGGGCGCGTGCGGAGGGTTGAGAGTAAAAGAGCCGTCCAGGTATTAAAGGGTTAATACCCGGTATTGGAGGGCAGTAATGACCTTACGAGGGGCGCCGCGACAAGGAGTTTCGAGGTGGGAAGTGGGCAGGAAAGCTAGCACAGCGGCAGTACTAGCAGTTTAAGTCGTGGTGATTGAAGTGGTGATAGAAGTGGTGATGCCTGGCTTAGCTACTACTTGTACTAGTAGTAGATGTAGTGCTACGACGGTGAGAAGAGAGAAGAGAGGGGTCTTATTCGAGGCACAGGCTAAGGAGAGACTCTCGAGTAGAAACGGAGAAATGAGGAGGTAAGGAAGCGGCGGGAGGGGATCTTATGCGTCTGCTTTCCCGACTGGCATCCTTTTCGGGAATTCCCCGGCGCGACGGGCGTGAGAAAAGACCAACTACAGGAGCGGGATCTTATCGTCTCCCTCCCTTGCTCACCCGTTGCCTTGACTTAGCGCGCGCGCGCGCGCGAGCTATTGGGGGTTTGGTTCGGCCGGGCAGTAGGGGCACAGGACCGTGCCAGTGGTTGGACCTATTGAAGACGAGCGACACTGAGCGACACTGGTGAGGTGCAGCAGGCATGCAAGCAGGGGGTGCGGCGCAGAGCAACGGGCCAAACCGTCCTGGGCGCCCGCTCACTGCTTAATGCTCGCTGCAAGAGGGAAAAGGCGAAGAGGAGGAGGGGAGGAGGAGGGAAAAGGGGGGAAGGGAGGGACGGTGCGGGGGATGGGAGGAGGCGCGTTGGAGGATCCGCTTTTTCGTGTTCTCCGTTTCGGGTCAGACTTGCACACCCGGTGTCCTTACAGAGAGGGAGGGGTGGGGAGGAGTCCTTGAGCAATGCCTACTGTTGCTTTGCACAGGGGGGGGTGACAGGGACCACCGACTCGGTCGTGGGGAGGGCCTCTGCGTCAGAGGATCAGACCAGTGATCAATACTACTATTGGGTAAGGACGGGAAGGGAAGGGAGAGGGGAGGAGAGGAGCGGAGGGGAAAGGCGAGGGAAGGAGAGGAGGGGATGGGAAAGGAGAGGAGGGGATGGGAGAAGAGGAGAGGTTCTTCTGACTAAGAGCACCTCTGACTAAAACTCACAGAAGCATTAAAATCTGGGGCGTGCGGATGCGCTTCCATTCACTGCTTGCTTGCGTGCGTGCATCGATGCGTTGAAGCAAACGGATCGGGGTTTGGCCGTGAGTCGTGACAGGACGGGAACGGGTGGTGGTGAGGCGAGTTGCAGCGGATGGGTGGATTCTGCTCTCGCAGCCTCGTGGCACACAACCTCGCGTCGCGGCGGCCTCGCACCGGTTCCGGGCAAAGGAGAGTTTGCTCTTTTAAAATTTGAAACGCAAAAAGTGGGGTGGATGGGTGGGTGGGTGGGAGAGTGGGCGGGAGTGGCAGCCTTCGTATTAACTCGGGGGTACTGTACTGTACTGCGCTTCCGCTACCGAACAGTAGAGGGTTTGTGACTTCGGCCCGCACTGGCTGGTACGCTAGACTAAGAAACGACGTCTCTGCTCGACTCAGAGCTCGCTCGATTCCTTTGAGCAGGCTTGCCGTGACTGTGGCTGGGTCTGTCGGCGGGGAGCAGGTAGCAGCAGTACAGGAGGGATGGCCATTGGTCACGCGAGAGGGAGCGCGGCGAGGCGTGGTGAGGCGAGGGAAGGGAAGAGAAAGGGGGACGCGCAGGTCAACCGTCGCCGAGTGAGAAACGGGCGACTCGAAGGGAGTGCTGTATAGAACATCCACGCGAGTAAGTCGACGTGTAAGGCGAGTACTTTACTTAGTACAGTACAGTGCACACTCGCAGGGATGACCAGAGACACTAGCGAGCTGTAAGGGTCGCATTTGTGAAGACCGAAGGTTTCTGCCTGACCTATTTTCTGCACTTTCGAAGTGATGCTCCTGTGGTGGGCTGGGCTCGCCAGAATGCATACACGTACCCATCTGTTCGCCTTCCCTTGGATTTCTCACCAATCGAAGCGAGTGGCGAGGATTCGTTCTCCGAAAACCGGTCTCGTTTGTCGTTTGCGACTGTCACGCGGGTGACCGAAATACCTCTGTGCCAGGCACTGTGTCACGATGGCAAGAAGGAATGGCAACCTGACGGAACTGGGCGCAAGGTGAGGGTAGATTTAGATTTATCAGTAGCAGACAACAGTGGGGAGGGGAAGCCTCACTCACACGTTCAGCTGAAGGCCGGACGAGATTTGGTTTGGCCTCTTGAAAGAGAAGTTGAGGAGTCGCGTCGCGGCATTCTTACAGTTTGCATCGAGCCGCTGCTTATGCCAAAAGAAGATAAAATGTGCGACTCGTATAAGTACATTGAGACGGTTGCGCCGCGACGTAATGTCCAATGAATAATCAGCTGGCAAACCAAGCCCACAATGGCCAACATTCTGACCACGTGAGCGTTGAGGTGGCGCTATGACAGGC